GTCCGGTGCTCTTTAAGGTTGTCCGCTACGCCACCGGGGCTGTGGCGGGGGTCCCCAAGCAGGATTCGGAAGAAAGGTTGCCTCGGAACTGCCGGGACAAAGGCAGACTTGAGGTCCATATCTTGTTGGGCCTCCTCACTGACGAGGACATCCAATCCTTCCATATGCGCTCTAAGGGGCGAGTGTACTTGTCCTTTCTGCTCCCAAATGAGTCCTGTAGTGGCGACAACAACTCTTGCCCCTGGTATGAGGCCGGTGCTGTGGAACATGGCCTTGTCATACTTTGTGCTCTGCCATTTGCAGCAGATGGTCTGCCGATACCGTGGTTCCGACCTCAGCTAAACCGAGAATGTGGAGCCCCACCGTATGTGTCTCTAGTCGTAGTAAGCTAGGTGGTAGTCCCCATTGGATCTGTGTGTTGACTACTACTTCCGCACTAGTTGGCAAGGGGGCAAAAGCCTCTGGGTTTGGAATGTAGGCTACAGTCCATGACTTGGGGCTACTTTGGCGAACTGCGAGCTCCTCCTTTGATTCGAGGGAGCCTTGCCTCGACCTTTTCTTGGGTTGAGTGACATATTCGAGCAGCACTACCAGCAGGGCAAAAACTTGGCTGCCTTCTCTAAGCACTAGTCGGTACACTCTCCCGACCTGGCTGCCTATGTGAATTTGCTCGGAGGGCAGCGTGGCCAGGGATTCGAAGTTCTGGGCAGGTTGTTCAGGGGAGACAAAGGCCGCTGCCCTCGAGTTTGGAGCGAAAGCAATCTTGTATTCATGCATGCCCTGAAGTCCTTGAGCGATGGGCGTAACATGGACCGTTGTCAGTTCGTTACTGATGGCTGGGCTGTACCACAGCTTGCAATCTAGTTTGGCTCCTTCTGGAAAGGTTAGCTGGGGCAGGAATAGGGCAAGAATGACAAAAACTTCCCTAAAGGGGATCGGCTTGAACAGATCCCGTGTTACTTCTGTGAGCCATTGCTCACATGCATTTGGCTCGCTGCTGCCCACACGAAAATTGCACAAGAGCAGTGCTTGTGCTTCTGCCAGTGACGAGAATCCCTGCTCTGGCACACAGCTACGCAACAGGTCGAGGAGCTCTGGATCAGGCAGGTGAATCTGAGGTACAAGTTGCTCAATTGCAGTGCGCCAGTCTTGTTGGTTCATGACCGTTTCGAAGCGGATCCAGGACGCCAGTCGGAGTGGAGCTGCCATTCTGTCCCGGATGGGGATGATATCCGGGTGGCTAAGCTTGAGTTCAGAAAGGAGCCACCGACCTACCGGGAGACTACAGTGCAGCCAATGCCAATATCTATGTTTGTCAGTGCCCATCCATTTATCTGCCTCTGCAACAGAAGTGTATCGAAGGCGGTACTCAATGATCCTTCTGTCAGTGGGACTGGGATGCCAATCGCACAGCAAGTCATCCTCCGCATGAACTAGATGGATGTCGCATTGGCCAGGGGATGCAAGTTCCATCAGTGCACCCATGACTCCTTTAGGCATTGCTATGGCACCAAGTGTTGCCGAAATAGGGCATTCCGGGAAAAGGGCACACAGACCAATGACTACAGTGGCTCCAGTGTAGCTGCCAGCACTGAATCCTTCAACGTGAAACTTGGTGGGAGCATAGAGCCTATTTGCAATAGTGCTGTTCCCAATACGCTCCAAATACGGCAGGCACATGAGGATGCGCGCTGGCTGAAATGATAAAAGCTTCCACCAGAGTCCACTAAGAAAAGCAGCCTGGGGAACTCGGCGATGGGCAGGGACCTGCCTCGAGGCTTCTAGAACTATTTGTGTTCTGCGGTACAGGGTAGCTGCTCGGCCATAGCCTAGTGTTTCCCAACACTCGCAAGTATCAATGGTATTCGACATCAGGATCGCAAGCTCATGCAGACTGTACGTGTGACCTGCCGCGACCTCCGTAATTTGCCCACTGTACCGGTCAGCAGGTGCTAAGGAGGGGCCATACACACAAGTGCCATTGACTCGGGGGTGAGTACAATTGATAGTGGGAGTGGTTGGGCTACCCAAGGTGCCTCCACCAAGGCCCCCACAGTTGATCTGGATGATTTTGGGCAGGGGCTTCTTTGGGGCAGTAAGCCAAAAACCCATATGTTTGCGCCATGTGCCAAAGCATGGTTTCCCAGTGAGGGACCCAGGGATGCACGGCATACATTGAGCACAGGATCAGTTGAGCCGTCGTTTCAACTGGTGCTGTGTCGTGTGGGAGTTGACTGAAGGCAGTACCTTGCAACTGATGGAACTCTCTTTGTTCATCCTCTGTTAGGATCCCAATGGCTCCCTGGAACATAGCTCGGAGGTGCTCCGAAGGGACTTCATGTTCGACAGGAATGCCTAACTGCGTCGCAATCTCTTGCCATGGCACAAAAAGGGCCGGTGCTCTTCATTTTGCAGCGACTCTGGTAGACTGGACCCGGACTCACGGGAGTTCTGGTCTGCTACTGCGGCCAAGAGCGACCGTTCAAGAAAAGACTGATCCGTCTCAGAAACCGTGCGGACCGACTCCACGTCCGAGTCTTCCTCTTGTCTGGCAGATGGGAAAAGGGCTGTGGATGGTACCGAAATGGCATGCCATTGCAGCAGCAAGCAGAAACGAAAGGCACTGTTACCAGTGAGTGCACTTGGCCCCCCTGTAAAGCAACACCCCCCGACTGGCTTCCATGTCTCCTGGGACCACACCGCTGGGTAATGCGGCATGCCTAGCAGAGCAATTGGGAGGGTCTCCCATCCAAGTTTCGCTAATTGAGCCAGCTGGTCATGTGCGTCCAGCTTTGCCTTACCAAAGGCATGAAAGATCACCGGTCTCATTCGGTCTGGCGCAATACGACTAGCCTGAAAGAGGTGCTCCCCAGGCAGAGAGATTGCTTTACAGGGTCCTTCCAGGTGCGGCAACACAGACAAGCATCCTTGCTCGAAGGTGGCACGGGCCCAGCTAGTGAGCCAGGGAGTGCGCTCTCGGCCAGCTTCAGTAAGGGCGCCTGGGTGAGCACGCTTGATTGAAGCTGGCTTCTGTTGGTCCCTGCTGGTGTTCTGTGCACTTTCTGGCATCGGCCAAAATTGGTAACGCATATACGTGCCATATAGTGCCCAAACAACTGCCAAGTCTAGTGAATGCTCCATTGGAACTCCTATGAGCGGGGTGAAAAGAGATCCCCCTTGTGAGGATTCAGTCGGACATTCCGGTGGGGCAGCCATAGCTAGTAGTTGTTGGCGGTAGTCTTCCAGTTCTTCGGCTAAATTCTCTGCAGTTGATGTTGTTTCAATCGGACTAGGACGGTTTGGACTGCCAATGGAAATGACCAGGCCAGCATTATATTCAAGGTGAGCTTCTGTGAAAAGCAGCATCCCAGGCTTGCTTTTGGCAAGGTCAGGATCAGCTCGATACCCTGTCAGATCAGGCCATCGGAACTGATTTTCTGCCAGGGCGATGAGGTCCTGCACTTCAAAGAGTGTAACTGGGACGCAATCATTATCAACAAGCCCAAAATGCACTTTTGGAAAGAGAAACCTCGCCGCTTCTAAAACAAAAACTCCAGCCCAGTAGTAGGGGATTGCTCGCAAGCCATTAGCATGAGTTGCCTGCACCCACAAAACATCAGTACACTCATGCTGAGGTCCGACTAGGGCTCTTCTGGCCGCCCACCACTGGGCAAACGCTGGCCAGTGTCCTACCTCCTCCGGTGCACGATTATCGACAATCATGTAAATCATGCCACATGACTCGATGAGCTCCCTATGCGTAAGCAAACACGCTATGATGGCAGCAGTGTCAGGGCCATGACCCTGTCTCGTTGTTGCTGGGTACCCTGGATCTTTGTCTACCGGCTGTGACCTGACATCGGAGATCCGACACATACCAATGTTAGTATCAAGGCCCAGGTAAGACTGTACTGCGGATGGCGTGCGCAGAGCTTGATATGCCTGCGCTTTGGCCTGATGGTCAGTTTCAGGACAGCCATATAGAAAGGTTCGTCTCTTTTGTTGGGTGATCCACCCTGGACTGGATTGTAGGTGGGGAACAGTACATTGCGACATCACGCGCGTCTGGTATTTGACGACACCGGTTTACCGATTCACACCGGTTTACACCGGTTTACCGATTTACACCGGTTTACACCGGTTTACCGATTTACACCGATTTACACCGGTTTACCGATTTACACCGATTTACACCGGTTTACTGATTTACACCGATTTACATCGGTTTACTTGAGAACAGCAGATCACTTGAGAGGTAGGTCACTTGGGAGCGTCTACATTGCGACCGTATAGGGTTTTACCACCTATTCTTGACGAGATTCACAGAGGTTCATGTCAAGCGCAACCTTTTTCAAGGCTGTTTCTGGAAGAATGTGTTCAATGCCAGACATGCAAAGGACAAAGCCGACATCACAAACATTCCAAAGGTGCAAAAAATACACATGTTTGCGTCCTGAAAAGTGTTCAAAAAGGACGCCCGCATTTTCCTGGCATTTTCAGCATCACCATGGTGCCAAACCAAGTGCTGCTCAGTGCAAGCCATCAACCTGTTTGCTGCACACATGTTTGCATGTAAATCCAGCCGGTGGTTGGTGCCGTTTGAAGCATGTCGCTTTTTAGAAATCTTACTACTGTATATAGATGTCATCTATTTGTTCCACGCTCTAGCCGCAAGTGAGGCTTAAGTGGTTACTCCCTACACTTTGTTGGCC